ACTCTTCAGTATATATGGCGTTACCCTCATGTGCTTGGCAATCGATCTCATGCACACTGTTGACCTAGGTGTTGCTGGATGCGCCATTGCAAATCTTCTCTACGAGCTGATATACGAAGAGATGCGTGACCTCCGCATCAGTGACAGGGTGTCTACGTTGTGGGTTCGCATTCAGGAGATTTATCGCGAGCTGGACTTGCCCCATAGGCTATCGAACTTTCGGCTGTCGATGGTCGCGAAGGATCCAGGGTCTCCGCACGCAGATTTCCCCGCCCTTTCGCACAGCATTAAGGCCGCCGAGGCCAGGAGCTTAGTGCGCGTGTGCCTGGTCCTTTCGAGGGAATTCCAGGACGCGGCGCCAGATGATGGTGGGGAGGTTCGCCGACGAACTCGTGCGTTGATGTTCAAACACCTGGTGCGTTTCTACGACGTTGTGTCCGAGGGGGGGCAATTCCTTACTGAGCCTGAGTGTCGGCGCCTCGTTTCTGCTGTAGATGGGTTTCTGATCACCTACCAATCGTTGTGCCAGCATGCTGTGTCACGAGTACCTGCTAAGTATAAGTACGGTCTCGTGAACAAGCACCACATGTTCTTCCACCTTGCCAGACAGACGCCACTAAACCCCAGGTGGGTTTGGTGCTACCAGCCCGAAGACTGGCAAAGGTTCATCAGCAAATGTGGCGCAGGCTGCGCGGTGGGATCGAGCATCTACCTTGTCCCAGCAAAATTGTGTGAACGTGTGCGTATGGGTAGGCATTCTTTGGACTTGCGTCACCTCTGCTTATTGAATATTTATAGTGCACAAAAAAAGGAAGGAGGATCATATACAAGGAGGGGGTGAGGATGGAGGAAAAGACGAAAGTAGACGGAATAACCGAAGTGTGGATAGGACCAAGGAAAGGGGAGGACAGAGGACAAGCACGTGGGCAGGTCCTAGCCCAGGGGCCCGAAAGGGCGGCGGTTCTGCAGTTCGTTCGCGGCATCGTGGAGTAGTGTTTTTGGCCCAGGCCTACGCGTTCCCGAAGACATGGTCCAAACTCCACTTTCTACCACCCCACCACCCAAGAGAAATCGTCCTTCCTCCTCCCTCCCTCCGTCCTTCCATCCCTCCTTCCTTTCCTCCCTCCTTCCTTTCCTCCCTCTATCCATTCCTCCTTCCTCCTCCTCGCCCCCCCTCCTCCCTCCCCCTTCCGCCACAGTGGATCTCTTCTCGAACGCATAGGCCTTGGCCTGCAAAAGCTGGCACGCAGCCAGCCCTGGAACGCTGGCGCGCCGCCAGCCGCCTGGCCAGCTGCCCGTTCCGACGGAAGGGGGGGGGGGGAGACAGTTTGGGAGGATGATTCGGAGATGGGCGCGGGGGGATGGTTTGATCAGTAACCATGCCTGTGCGAAAATCAAATTGGTATAACATCGAAATCGAAAAAAACATTCGGTAATGGAGGGGCACTAAAACACGAGAAGGATGAGAAGGAGGAGGAGGAGGAAGAGGAAAAGGAAGAGGAAAGGGGGAGGAATGGGAGAGGATGGGGCAAAAAGGGCATATGAGTACACACGATCACGAAGAATGGACGGACAGGGCTTGGTGGATGGACGGATGGATAGACTGCGAGGGATGGATGGAGCAGAATGGAGGGATGGATGGAGCAGTTCGGATGGAGCAGTTTGGATGGAGCCCTGGAGCGGCGCAGGCTTTTCACGTGGTGAAACAGCTCGCGCGCGGGCTGTTTCTTGTTCTTCCTCACACCCCGCGTTCTTCCTCACACCCTCTCTTCTTTTCACTCTCAGGTTTTGTTGTTCTTCCTCACACCCCGTCCTTCGCATATCTCGTTTCTTTCCCTGCCTCCCTGTACGCCCCATATTGTCCTCCCTCCGCCCCCTCCCTCCACCTTTCCTTCATGCCTGTCCTTTTCCGTCGATTCCCAAACGCCTTGCCTCTCGCCCTTGTCATCTCTGTTCCTCCTTCTCCTCCTCCCCCCCTGCTCCGTTCCTTTGCCCATTCATCCTGACCTAGGTCTTCCTCCTCCTCCTTCGCCTTCCCCCTGTCCCCCTCCGCCTCCTCTTGCTACTTTCTAAACGCATTATTTCTGCCGTCGGCGTACGGCTGGCGCGCTTCCTTGGCTCATACCTCTGCTGTCGGACGTGCCCCTCGCGCAATTCGTCGGCCCACGCCGATCTGACAAACGTCTGACGTCAGATCATTGTCAGACCAGACACCGATCTGACAATGGTCTGACGTCAGATCATTGTCAGACCACGACTGGGTCTGACAATGGTCTGACGTCAGATCATTGTCAGATCGTTGATTCAGATCGTCGGTAACTAGTCGGTCTTGCATCGGTAACAAAACGGTCTGGCGTCGGTAACGGATCGGTCGCGGGTTATCGGGTTGGGGTCGGTAACAGCGGTAACGCCGAAGCGGTCGCGACCGGTCGCGACCGATTTGACCGACCAAAACAGCAGTACCGGTCGCTACCGTTCGCTACTGGGTAATCTCGGGAATCGATGATCTGGGTGGGGGTGCGGACAGTGGTGGGGACGGTGTTGGTGGGGACAGTGGTGAGGGGACAGCGGGACAGTGGTGGGGACAGTGGGGGGACAGTGGGACAGTGGTGGGGACGGTAGTGGTGGGGACAGTGGTGGGGACAATGGTGGGAACAGGGGGGACAGTGGACAGTGGTGGGAACGGTGGTGGTGGGGACAGTGGTGTGGGGACAGTGGGAATGAGGTGGAAACACTGGGACAGTGGAGGGTACAATGGTGGTGGAGACACTGGTAAAGGCGGTGGCGAGGACGGCGGTGGGACAATGGGACAGAGGTACAGTGGGGACAGTGGTGGGGACAGTGGGGACAGTGGTGGAAACAGTGGGACAGCTCAGTGGGACAGCGGAGGAGTCAGTGTGACAGTGGGGACAATGGGGATAGGCAGTGGTTGGGTCCGTGGAGACAGTGGGGAGAGTGGAACCGTGGTGGGAACAGTTGTGGGAACAGTGGGGACAGTGCGACAGTGGTGGGGGCATTGGTGGGGACAATAGGGACGGTGGTGGAACCAGTGGGGACAGTGGTGGTGAGGACAGTGGTGCTGGGAACAACAGTGGGGGATGTGATGCGAGCGGTGGTAGGGACCGGGAGTCGTTTGCTGGCGGTGCGTGGGGGGGGGGGTCGAACCGGTAGTGACCCCCCTCCGGTTTTCGAGGGGGGGGGGGGGGGGGGGTCCAACCGGTAGTGACCCCCCCGGTTTTTTTCCGGATCCGGAGGGGGGGGGGGGAGGGGTTCGAACCGGTAGTGACCCCTCCCGGTTTTCGAGGGGAGGGGGGGGGGGGAGGGGTTAGGGGAGGGGGGGGTTTTGCCGGGAGGGAGGGGGGGTGGGGGGGGGTGGGGGAGGGGTTCCGGCAGGGGGGGGGATGTTCGGAGGGGGAGGGGGGGGAGACCCCCGGGTTCCGGAGGAAAAGGTTGGCAATAATTTTCCACAGTAAAGCGGCGGTGGATCACGCTCTCTCAAATATCGAGTGATACAGTCTTTTGTCAACAGTTATTGTTTTCCCCTTCGTCCCCGTGAAGTAGAAGTATGCGGTGCGTTTGCGTTAATCGAGGAAGCGTTCCTCCTCATACTCCATTGCAACAGCTACGATGCGGGGCAATCGCACCGCTGCGCGCGCATGTCCAATCACTCCAACACTCTTTTTACTTACCTATTTATTGCGAGCCATACCTGTTCAAACACAATAACAGACCAACTTGTTCTTCAACGAGAAGTTGCCATATTTGTTGCGCGCGTGCATTTGCTCAAACCGCCGGGAAAAAACATCGTGCGTCAGTCATTCACCAGATTCAGACCGTGCGTGCCACACTCGCGCGCAAGCGGACAACTTTCAACGACCACTACGCGCCCGCCAACTCTGTCAAATAGTACAACGCGGGCCACATGTGCGCTATTCCGCGCGCACGTCGAAATCCTGCAAACACCACTGGTTTTCCAAGCATTCCTCCAACACGCAGGTTTCTCAAACAAATTCGAAGACCAAGTTGTTATCCACCATTTTGTTTTCAACAGGAAGTTTCGAGGAATGTCTGCGAGTGCGCACTTTGACATCATCTGGAACTGCGCAACCGTCATCATCGTCATCGCCAGTGTCATCATTGCCATCGTCAGCATCATCGTCACTCTCGTCGCTGTCACCGCCGTCGTCGTCGTCATCGTGGATATCTCTGCCCTCATCAGATCTCTGCGCTCGCGCGCACTTCCCTGCTGGTGAGCACCATCGTCATCATCACCATTAGCGTCACCATGGACACCGCTGTCGCTGCCCAGTTGAGTTTTGCCAACACGTTGCTGATGGGTGGGTGGGTGGCTCGGTTGGTGGGTGGGTGGGATGTTTGCACGAGCATAGGAGTCGATCACGCGTGGATGCGGTCAAAACTCACTGCACCTCAGAGGTTCCCCCCACAGTTTCCATCACCATGGTTACGCCACATAGCTTGCACATCCGCAGTGGTCCATGTCACTGTATGGGGCGTTCGCGCGGCTTTCGGCGATTCCGCGCGGGTCCAATGTATTCTGCGCGCCGTGCGTTGGCCGCGCTATACTTTCAAAAGAGTGCATCGGTGCCTTGGTTTTCTTCCAAGCGCCTCAGCAGATCTGGGCGAATCTGTCCAGATTAGACGGAACGTGGTTTCATCTTCATGCAATTCCTGGCAAAAGCTGTGTCATATGACGTAGTCCCAGAGGTACGACGCCCTGGTTTTTCCAGCACGGGCCCTCCGGAGGTCTCGACCCGTTCCCGCGGGACCGATCTCCAGCCCAGAGCCGTTTTTTGCAGGGCGCCGTGGCCTGGAGTTTGCTTCGGGAGGCCAGCAGAATGGCAAAAACACCGTCATGCCTGTTCGATACGTTGGGTGCCTTGGATAGCCGTAAGTCGTTCCCACGACGGATTCTCACGTGTTGTCGAGTCGCTTGTCCTGCTCTCTCACGCTCTGAAGTGTGCCCGTGGCCCCCCGCGGAGGCGAAGGGCTCCCCCAGCTTCGGGATCGCGCGCAAGAGCTGGCCCTCGCTGTTCTGCTTCTCGGTCATCCACGTCTGCCCGGACTCCGGGGCAACGCTCGGGGGGGGGGGCACGGGCCCCGTGGAGGGCGCATCGACCTCAAATGGCCCATCCATCGCCGCTAGGGGCCCGACAGCGCACCCCGCCCAGCACCATGTGGGTGTCGCTGTCGGGGGCCTCCTCAGCGCCGATCTGTCGGCGAGGTATCGCCGATATGTCCCGGCTCGATGCCTCCCTCTGACTCGGTCCTTCTTGCAAGTTTCCCCCCGACGAGGACGAGAAGAAGTGCTACGAGAACGCGCTCATGAACAGGATCTACGAGCTGGGCCCCGATTCCGCAGGCGCTCGGGCAGGCGAAAAGTCGTAGCCTGCGCGGCGGCGCGCCGAGGAGGAGGCAAGAGAGGGCAGGCCTTCTCAGAACCGGCAAGTCCTGCTAGGAGACTGGGCGGCGTGCGGAGGCTCTGCACGAGGGAACTGGGCACGGAAAGATTGGGTACAATGCCCAACAGCGGATCTTGTTCACTTTGAACTGGACGCGCTGTCCACGAAGCTGGGGCCTGTGTCCGACAGAAGGCCGCCTGCCCAACAGCGGCCGCTGTTGATTCGGGGCAACATTTTGCTGTTGGGCATTGTACCCATTCTTTCCGTACCCATTTCGGGCGTCCAAAGGCCCGCTCAGGAGGCGACGGGGCTTCTCAGAAGCCCACCTGCCCTCCAGGATGCCCTCTGCTTCCTCGGAGAATCGACCAGACGTAAGAGTGACCTTTCTATTTTTCTCACGCGCAATATTTTGGGAGAAGAAGGAGGGGCATGAGGTAGGGGACGATCGCAACCGCACTCGAGTAACACGTGCACTCCTTGGCGATGCGCGGCAGGGCCTGGCCAGCAGCTTGATTCACAGCGAAAAAAAGACGTAAGAGTGACCTTTCGCCGGAGTGACCTTTGGTGCGGGCACAGATGGGTCCCCAGACGGCTAAACACGAGGCGGTAGCAGCTGCTTGCGCGCCCAGGCCTGGTCCCCCCGCGGCTCCAAAAAGTCGCGCACCAAAGGTCACCCTTACCCAGAGTGACTCTTGCGAGCAGTCGAGAGAAGTCTCAGGGAGCTTCTCAGAGGGCCTCCGAGCCTACAGTGCCGTTTTGAATACATGCTCCGCGTGCGGATCATGTATTTTAAATGCAGGGTTTAGTATTAAATGCAACGATGAGTTCATGCATGTGTATTTATATATATACATTAATCATGGATTACAAATCTTCTATTCTTAAAAGCCTATGCATTAAAACCTGCCCTGTACTGGGCAGGCCCGCCCGCAGGCGCCGATGCAGTTCCGAACCGCTCGGCTTCCTGGGCCTCCCGGGGGGGGGGCCCTCGTCGCCGCGTGCAGGTTCGTGCCTCGTTGGTTCCCCAGCCTCCCTCGACCGAGTTGATCGTTCGTTTTCCTTTTTGGCACTCACCTCGGAGAAAGGTGCCACCGCGCACCCTCTCAGGGCCGGGCGGGCGGGCTCGATCGCGCCGCGCCTGAGCAGACAGCTGCGCGGCGCGCGGGTGCAGAGGGGAGGAGGGAGCCCACTGGAGACTCAGAGAGACACCAGCAGGAGTCCCAGGAAGTGGTCCGGGCGAGCAGCGGCGGCAGTCCGAGGCGGGGACTGATCCATAGCCACCGCTGGGGGGTGGTTGTGGATATTATTCCATCGCTTCGCTCATTCCGCTGGCCCATGTTGCATGATCGCTACTGCTTCGCAGTGGGCCCGGGGCCATTGTGGCGCCGCCGAGGAGGAGGAAGATGATGATGGGGAATGGGAGGGGAGGAGGAGGAGATGATGAGAAGGAGAGGAGGAGGATGAAGATAAGTAGGAGGAGGAGGCGGAGGAGGAGGAGGGGGAGGAAGGGGAAGGGGCGGAGGAGGAAGCCTCTCGTTGGCATCTTGTGTTGCTCTTGGGGCCAAACAGGGTCGTCGTCAAGATGCTTCTTTGGGAGGCCTCTTGGGGTCCTCTGAGAAGCCGTTCGGAGGCGCCTGGGAGGCATTTTTGAACGTCTGGGGCCTTTTCGGGGCCTCCTGGGGACCTCCTGGGGCCTCTTGGGGGCCTCTTGGGGCCTCTTGGCGGCATCGTGGGGCCTCTTGGGGGCCTCTTGGGGGCCTCTCGGGGCCTCCTGGGGCCCTCTTGGAGCGGAAGGCTCGAGTTTTCGGTTCGTGGTCCCCCTCTTGGGCCCCCTTAGGGCCGTCTTGGGGCCGTCTTTGGCCGTCTTGGGCGCCTCTTGGGCCGTCTCGGGGCCCTCTTGGGGCGCTCTTGGCAGCCTCTTGGCCCGTCTTGGGGCGCTCTTGGGGGCCTCTTGGGCCGTCTTGGAGCATCAGATGGCCGAAAAGGCGACAAGGCCTAAATCTTTCCAAAACCATCGTGAAATATGAATTTGGCCTCGGGCCCTCTTGTGAGGCCTCTTGGAGGCCACTTGGAGGCCTCTTGGGCCGTCTTGGGGTCGTCATCGGCGTCTTGGAGCGCTCTTTGGGCGTCTCGGGGGCCTCTTGGGCAGTCTTGGGGACCTCTGGGGTCAGGAGGGGGGGTAGTCGATTGCGCTCCTCTCCTCGGAGGCCACGATGCCCGTGAGGGGTGTCGAAAAATTGCCTGGTCTGGCATCTCTGATCCGAGTGTCCCGGGGGTGCCCCAGGGGTGTTCCCGGGTACTTTTCGTCTGGGGGCCCCCAGGGGCGGCCCCGCGCGCGCGAACTAGAATATTGTTAACCAGTTACCAGAGATCTTAGCACGCCCTTGGCCCGTTGGGCCGGCGAAATCCGCATCGCGGTCGGTATGTAGCTGTTTCCCTAGGAATCTTCGGCTGCGACGATTGGAACGTGTTCGCGAACGAGCCTGCGAAGGTCGGGGGCCGGGACGCCACGCAGATCAAGGGCAACATCTCGGTGGGCATCTCCAAGGACGGGACGGCGGCGAACACGGAGTTGTTCATGGCGGTCTGGGAGCTCGTGATCGACGACGGAAGGTTCATTAGAGAGTAAGTCTTGCCAGCTTCCATTCAGCGCACGGCGCCCAAGAGCGCCCGCACCGCGCCCAGCCGCGTCCAGTAGCGCTCAGAAGCGCCCGCCCAGCGCCCCACAGCACGGCGAGCGAGCCGCGTTGCGGGCGCTGTTGGCGCGCTATGGGGCGCGCCGTTGGGCGCAGAGGGGGGCGAGCCAAGGCCCCCCCTGTGAGCTGCACCCCAACGAAGGATTGCAAAAAACCCAGGATTGAAGGATTGCAAAAAAAACAGAATTGAAGGTTTTTTTTGCAATCCTTCGTTGAAGGATTGAAGAGTTTTTTTTGCAATCCTGGGTTTTTTTTGCAATCCGAGGTTCAGGATGCACGACTGGACCGTGAAGATGGACCCGGACGCCGTGCTCCTGCCGTGGAAGCTCGGCGACCGCCTCGCGCCCCACACCAACAACGGCGAGCACGACGGCAGGCGAGGAGGAGGAGGAGGAGGAGGAGGAGGAGGAGGAGGAGGAGGGAAGAGGAGGAGGAGGAGGAGGAGGAGGCAGGCTCTTCGTCGTGAACTGCAACGCCTGGCCGGGGTCCGACTCGTTCCCCATGATGTACGGCTCCGTCGAGATCTTCTCGAAGGGCGCCATGACGGCGTATGCCGCAAACATGCAGGACCCGATGGTGGTCGTTCTCTCATTCGTTCACTGTTTCGCCGATCGGTGCGGGCCCTCGCCCCCTCCCCCATGCGCCCCCCCCCCCACCCCCGTGGCGCAGATCTTGGCTGTTTCTTGCGCCTGTTTCGAGCAGGTGGAGTCTCCCCCATAGGACTCACTGTTGCAAACGGTCGCGCCAAGCAGAGATCCAGAGCCAGATCCCCCCCCCCCCCTCCCCTCCCCCTCCGCCCAATGTCAAAACGCCGAACAAGAAAACGTTCACACGGGGACGGGCGAGCCCCACTCGCGCTCCACGTCTGTCTGCTTCAGCCCTGGGGTTGGGGGGGGAGGGGGCCAGGAGGGGCAAGATTGTCAGGATCGTTGGGGAAGGGTGTCTGTCACCAGGCATACGGCCGTCTGTCTGATTGGCCCTGTCTCCCCGTCGACCTCCGAGGCCCGCTGCGCAGACTACTTCCAGTGGGAGGACTGGGGCGAGGACTACTTCATCACCCGATCCGCGTGCGCTGCCGCGCGTGCCTGCAACCGCCAGCGGGGAGGGCGACGGGGAGCTGCCCACTTCCGTTACAGATCTATCCAGCTGCACCCGCCCGCTTGCCTTACTGAATGCGCTGTTGTCGCGTGCGCTTCGTCGCGTCCACCCAGATTCGTGCGCTCTCGTCGCATGCCCGCTCTACGTTACTCCGTTGCGTGCCCACTTACGTCGCGTGCGCACGCATCAGCTGCTCAGATCTCCGACAATACGAGTTCATCCATCCGGGTGGTGTTCCTCGGTTTCGGCCCGCGGGGGCCGTTACCCGGCCTGCAGGGTCATGAAACACGGATTTGGGACGCAGATTTGCTTTTGAGGAAGGGATCGGGAGCGTTGGGGCCGCGGACTGAAAGCATTCCATCGGGTCCTGTCTGGGACTGCACTGCTGCGCGCATTCAGGAGCTATCGCGCCTGGGGAAGCGGCGTGGACATGCTGCCCAGGCACGGCCGCTGCGTTGCATGTCCGTGTCGCCGAGACATGGTGTCACTAGAGATTGTTCGCGCATGCGTGGGTCCTCTCGGCCTTCAGGGGGTGTCTGGCTCTCTTCAGCCTTGAAGGCCCGTTGGGTTCCTGCTCGGCGGTGTCTCTCGACGGCCATGGGGCCGTTTCCAGCGTGGGGTGCGCTTGGGTTCTTCTGAGGCCCCCAGACTGAGCTTTCCTCGAGGAGGAGGAGGAGGAGGAGGAGGAGGAGGAGGAGGAGGGACGAGGAGGAGAGGAGGAGGAGGAGGAGGAGGAGGAGGAGGAGGAGTAGGCCACACTTACTTCTCTCCTCCCTCTCTTCCGCCCCCTGGTGTCTGCCAGCGGGGGCGTCCGTGGGTACCGCGGCCACGTTCGGCGCGGCCGCGTTTGGCGTGTGTCCGATCGGTGGCGGAGCCGGGATCGCCACGCACGGCGTCGCAGCATCAGCAGAATCGGATCTCGAGGCCCAGACTCCTGGCGCCGGCCGTGCTGTCCAGCACTCGGTGTGGGGCGCCGCTTCTGGGCCCGCGGGGCCGTCCTTAAGGGTAGTCTGGAGTGAAAGCGGAGTCCCGTGGGGAAGCGGGAGGGGCCCAGGATTTTTGGCCATGGGCTCCACAGTCGTAGCACGGGGTCCGGTGACCCCGTGGCCCCAGGCCACTTCGCAACCGTGTGCTTCGCGCTCGTACACAGTGTTATGCTGCGCCCATCGCACTTGGGGACCAAACCCCATAATCAGTTTCAAGCACCCAAGAGAAGTATCGAAACAGTGTGGAACGAGCATCGCCTCCCAGAGCCCGACACGTGAAAATCATCCACTTTGGGTACTTTCCTGGTGCTCGAGTTTTTTTCTTGCGGTTAAGGCTCTAGTACATAGGAACCTCATACACCCAGATGTCCTCCGCTATGATCTGCTCAGTTCCTGGCCGCAGAGCTCCCGACCCCTTTGCTGGGGGTAGTCCCCAGGGCCCACTAAATCGCACCCCAGTAGCACAAGCGTCGAGGAAGCAGGCCCGCATTGCAAACACATCGTCGGAGGTCCGGGTAATACCTTCCCCGGCGGGGTCTTGGGAGGGCTGCAGACGGCCCCGGCAGGGCCGCCAAGGCCTCCCAGCAGAGCTCCAAGATCGCCCAAGACAGCCCCAGAAGCGTCTCCAGGGCGGCTCCTGGAGAGTCTCGTGCCGTCCAGGCGGCGCGAGGATATAGCTCGGAGAGGATCTCTGGACGGCCAACTCAGGCGAAGACCAAAGGATGCCTTCAGTTCTTGAGAGAGTTGTCGCTGACGCCCAGACAATATGTTGCTGAACATGGTTCCAAGAGCGTTCCGGAAGAGCCAAGGAGAGCCCAAAGAGGGCCCCGAAAGGCCCCCGAGGGGGGAGGCGGAAGCGGGCCGACAACAACCAGGAACGATCACGGGGAGAATTGAAGAGTGAGCAGGCAGGATTATGATGAGGAGGAGAGTGGAGGAGGAGAAGAGTGGAGGAGGAGGAGGAGGAGGAGGAGGAGGAGGAGGAGGAGGAGGAGGAGGAGGAGAGGAAGGAGGAGGAGCCGGAGGAGAAGAAGAGGGGAGCAGGAGGAGGAGGAGGAGGAGGAGGAGGAGGAGGAGGAGGGGTGGCAACCCCTGGAGACATACATGCCGTTAGACCTGGCCCAGCGCAGAAACGGAAAGAGCGCTGCAGCCACAGAAACCGAAAATACTCACACCACCGTTCGTACCCGGAGCCTTGGCGTTGAGAGCTTGTTACGTCACCCCTGGCTCGTGGGAGCCTTGGTGTTCAGAGATGGTTGCCTTGCCGCCCGTTCCTGAGCCTTGGCTGGGCCTTGGTGTCAGGAACTTGTTACGTCACCGCTCCCTGCTGGGAGCCTTGGTCTTGGAAGCCTTGGTGTGAAGAGCTTTTTGTGTGACCGATCGCTCTTTATTTGGCGTCTCGGGGCCTTCGTGGGAGTCCTATTGGGCCCTTTTGGAGCCCTTTTGGAAGCCTCTTGGGGGCCTCTTGGGGGCCTCTTGGGGCTTCTTGGCGGTCTGTGGGGGCCTCCTGGGAGCGTCTTGGGGCGAAAAGCTAGACTGTCGGGTTCGTGGTCCCCCTCTTGGGGCCGTCTTGGGGCCCTCTTGGGCCGTCTTGAGCGCCTCTTGGGCCGTCTTGGCGCCCTGTTGGGCCGTTTGGGGGGCCTCTTGGGAGCCTCTGGGGCCGTCTTGGGGCGGTCTTGGGGGCCTCTGGGGCCGTCTCCAACGCAGTGGAAGTCGAAAAGCCGTGTATGCTTAAAATGTACGTTTTCCTATAGGAAATCAATGATTTTCGCCTCCTGATGGCCTCGTGGGACGCCTCTTGGGGGCCTCTTGGGGCTTCTTGGGGGGGCTGTGGGGACCTCTCGGGAGCGTCTTGGGGCGATAGGCTAAACTTTTCCGTTCGTGGTCCCCCTCTTGGGGCCGTCTTGGGGGCCTCCGGGGCAGTCTTGGGCGCCTCTTGGGCCGTCTGGGGCCCTCTTGGGCCGTTTGGGGAGCCTCTTGGGAGCCTCTGGGGCCGTCTTGGGGCGGTCTTGGGGGCCTCTTGGGCCGTCGTAAGGCGCAAAGCCGTGTATGCTTAAAATGTAGGTTTCCCCATCGGAAATCGATGATTTTGGCCTCTTGGGGCCCTCTTGGGACGCCCCTTGGGCGCCTCTTGGGGGCCTCTTGGGGGCCTCTTGGGCCGTCTTGGGCGGTCTTGGGCTGTCTTGGAGCGCTCTTGGGCCGTCTTGAGGGAGAATCCGAAAAACATGCAAAAACCCACAGGACAAAAAAAACCCACACGGCCAGTAACTCCAATCTCCTCACGCTTCGCCCCTCCCCTGGAGCCCCTCCTAGGGCTTCGCCCCAACACAACGTCATCGCTCGTACCTCACTCTTTCCGTTATCCAAGATCTCAGGAGGAGGACGAGGAGGAGCAGGAGGTGGACGAGGAGGAGGTGGACGAGGAGGAGGAGGAGGAGGAGGAGGAGGAGGAGGAGGAGGAGGAAGAGGAGGAGGAGGAAGAGGAGGGCCTCGGAGGGCCCCAGGGGAGGCCGCCGCCGCGCGAGCGGCGGCGGGGGCTCTGCGTGAGCGCGCGCCCCCCCGACGCGCGACGGAGCGCGGCGGCGGGTGCATGGACCAGCTGGACGTGGGCCGCCTGGACATGTTCGACCTGGTCGGCGACAACGTCTGCGTGGGCCGGGCGCCCGAGGGCGGGGTCCCCCCCGAGATCCTGGCGCTGCGAGGTGCTTCCGCGCCCGGCGCTCGTGCGCCCAGTCTTGGGGGGCCCCCGCGGAGCCCTCGTAGGTCGATCTGTCTCTGGAAGATGGCGCAGGGAGGTTGGGTCCGGGGCTCTGGTCGTGATTTTTCACCAGGCCGCAGTCGTTCCGCAGCGTTGGATCTCAGGGTCTCGCGGGTTGCTAGAAGGTGCCCTTGGCCCGGGGTGCCCCCCAGCTGTTGGTTCGCTCCCTGCCCTGGAGCCCCAACAGGGCCCTCCGAACTGGGCCTCGCGAGGAGGCCTGGAGGCCCTGTAGGCCCTGGAGGGCACCCTCGTGAGCACTCCGAGGGTGCCCCTCGCGAGGGGCACCCTCGTGGAGGGCTTCCTCGGCTCTCCTGGGGGGGGCACCTGTGGGCCCGTGGGCACCTCTGGCAGGCACCCGAAGAGCGGCGGTCGACGCCCCGGCTCCGGGGTGTGCCGCCGGCGGGCGCGCCGCTGTCGTGGGCCTCGGCTCGGCCACGCGCCGGAGGGGGGGGGGTTGGAGGGGAGGGGGGGGGCTGCTGAGAAGCACCAGTACGGCCAACGCCTGTCAAGGAGCACCCCTGCTTCCAAGAGGCCTTCCCCCTCCTCCTCCTCCTCTGCCCCCGTGTGCGCGCTGCCAATCGGCGCCGTCGCGGATGGAGGGGGGGAGGGATGGGGGGGGGCCGGGCGGAGGGGAGGAGGGAAGGAGCGAGGGAGAAAGGAAACGAGAATCAATAACAGAAAAGCAGAAACAAACACCTTAAAAAACATAACGGGGAAACAAACAAAAAGACAAGAGAAGCAACACAAACAGGAGGGATGGAAGGAGGGAGGGAGGGAACGGGCGAGGGTGGGCGGGAGAGGAGGGGAGGAGGGGCTGGAGAGAAGGGGATGAGGGGCTTTACACGGCCGCAAGCACACACCCTCAGAATATGAATTCCGATATGCCCTGCTACGGGGCGGGAGTGGAGGGAGGAGGGTGGACGGAGGGAGGGAGGGAGGGAAGGAGCACTCGCGAGCGAACCAGGTGCCCCGGTCCCCCCAAAAGAGCACCGGCGCGGCTCAGGACACGGCCCCCCCCGCGCGAGCACCCCCAACGCCTCGAGCTGGGAGAGCAAAGGCAGCTGCTTCACACACGGCGAGACCTCCTCATCAACGGCGCCCTTGAGGGCGCGAAGTCATTCGCGCTTCGCGGTTCGGTTCCGACTCCTCCTCATCCTCCCCTTCTCCCCTTGGGGGCGGCGCGAGAGCGCGAAGTTATTCGCGCAGCGCGAAGCGCGAAGTTTGGTGCTCTTGCTCATCGTCCTCATCATCACGAGAACCCAAACACGCGACGTTGTTTTCGCAGCTTGGGCCCGCAGAGATCTGAACCCCTTCCCCGGTTCCAGCTTCTCGTCCCGAGACGTTCCTTGACGGTGTTTTGTCGCCCCCCCAGTGGCCGGAAATGTGGACAAGCTTTCGAACCATGATTCTGTTCAGGACGCGAGGGGTCTGGGTTTTAGTGGGCCCGAGGAGCGGAAGGGCTGTCTTTGTTGCCGCTTCTCCGCAAACATGGAAGGTGAAAGCTGTAAGATACATGTCCTGGCTACGGGAACAAACAGTTCAGGGATTGCAGCCGGAACCGGAAGCGGAACAAAAGAACGGCGACGAAACTGGGAACCGGGAACTGAATTGTGCCTGAGCCGGCAACACCAACGGCAAAGCGGAAACGACATACAGTTGCTTTGTCGCTTCCATGGCCCACGAAGGTCTTGGCACTCCTCTTCTTCCGCACGAGCAGGAAGACGACGACGAGGACGGCGTCAAAGAGCAGCAGCAGCAGCAGCAGCAGCAGCAACAGCAGCAGCAGCAGCAGCAGCAGCAGCAGCAGTAGCGGCAGCAGTAGCAGTAGTAGCAGCAACAGCAGCAGCAGCAGCAGCAGTAGCGGCAGACGTAGCAGGGCGGCCAGTGACGGCAGCGGCAGCCTGCCGCCATTGCGCCCGCGGGTGTTGGGGGCGGGACCAGGGCGGCCACAGCATATCTCAGAGAGCGAATATTTTACCCCGCTTGCGCTCCCAAGTCCTGCCACGCGCCTCGTCGTCCAGCAGCTTGACCGTCGCGGGCCACTCCGCTGGCAGCTTTGCGTCGCTCTGCTCCCCTCCCGTCCGGAAGCGGCGTTTGTCAAAAGCGAGGTCGATTCGTATGCCTCTTACATCTTCAGCATCGGGGGCACGATTAGGGGGGAAGGGCAAGGCCTCGATGCTCGAGGCTCGAGGTTTTGGGGCATTTTCGGCGGTGCCTGGCGGTTTGTCCAGCCTCGGGGTGCGGATCCCGCGTCTGCGGGGGAGGAGGACGACAACGACCTCCGAGAGTTCCTGGGAGCCTCCCAGTATGCCTCCTAGTTCCCGAGAACCAGAGAACTTTCGACGACGGCGGCGACGACGACGACGATCCAGGCATCCGATGGTGCGATTTTGTTTCCATCCGCGGCCCCATAAGCTCCCGGCACCCTCCCTGGTGGTAGTTTTTCGTCTCGGATCCATGTTTGATGATCCCGCGGGGCCTGATAACGGGCCGCAGGTGCCGAAATCGAGCAAACACGCTTGGATGGAGCGACATCATGTCGTCGTAGATCTTGGGTCGAGCATCTCGAAAGAGCAGAAGACCCTTGACGACCACGGCGGCGGCGGCGACGACGACGAGCAGCAGCACGCACGTCTGGGCAGGACGGCAGGCGACAGCGGAAGCCTGTCGCCTCTGCGCCCGCGAGCGGTGCTGGGCGCACCACGGGGTCCGGAGCGGCCAGGGGGCGGAGGAGCCGGGGGCCCCCAGAAGCAGCGCCGTGACCACACCGTGCCTGACATCCGCGCGCGTGGCACCGAGAAAAGACACGCCTCGAGGTTTTCTGGCCACGTCCGCTGTCCCTGGGCCCCCGCGCCAGCCCCTGGCCTTCCCCCCCCCCAAACAAAAGAACAAACATGGCCCGGGATGGAAGGCCTGCTCCGGGGAAAGGGGTGGTCCAGACCCTGGGGGGGCAGCGCTGTGGAAGCAGCACGGCGTCGGAGGTCTGTGCGGGGTGGGCGGGTGGGGATATGCTCGGGGTGCGCGCACCGTACTGGGGGCTCGGGCGGCTCTCTCTCCGAGAGGGTCTCGGGCAGTTGGGGCCTCCGGTGTCCCGAAGGCGTGCGGCGACGGACCCCTGCGGTGAGGTCCTCGAGGGTTCTCGGGCCACCGCGCGGTCTTTCACGGCACCCTTTTGAAGAAGCCCGAGTGGACGCGTTCGCACAGTGTGCTTCACGTCCCAGGCCCAGTCCGCTGTCTGCTTCCCACTGGCCGCTGCAGAGCCCAGGGCTCGGTCGCCGCCCAGCTCGAGCCCTCTCTCGCCCTCCGCGCCCTGCCCCCCCTTGTTCCTTCTCCGCCGTCTGCTGCTTGCCTCCCGTCTGCCTCCCGTCCTTCCTGACGATGACGACAACGACGGTGATGCTCCACGCGTCTAAAGAGGTCAGGAGCTCCTAGCTCGTACTGCCCCTCGGGCCGAAGCGTTTCCCTCTGGCCCTGCGGCGGCAAGGCTCGGTCTCGTGCGCCGCAGCGCACCCTCGCAGATTCACTTGAGTGCCAAGAGGCCGCCCACCGCCCCAGCCGACGCAGCGGTAGTGCGGCATCCGAGCAGTCACGGCGACTCAGCCCGCAACAGCAGCACACACGCGCGAAAGCAGAGCAACACAGTCCCCATGGCTCCTGGCCGCCCACTGGACAACCTTGCTCTGCGATGGCGTTCGGAGGCGATCCAGAGAGTCCGTAGCAAGCCACCTACCCCCTCGGTTCGGCCTCCGCGCTGGCGCGAGAACAGTGCACACGACAGGCGGGCTGGTATGCAGCAAAGCTGCAGAACGCAAGCGCCACTTGACGTGCCAAGCGGCACGGACAGAGCAGCGCAGCGAGCCCAGGAGGGGCAGGAGTGAGTGCACCCTGACGTGTGCCGAGCCCCGAGGAGAACGGCCTACGCAACGGGGTCCCTCTCCCCTCGAAGCTCGCACGCTCGTCGCAGGCATTCGTGATCCTCGGACCCGCCTGGCGCCACGAGCACACGGCACCGCGCTCGGCAGACCGATGGGTCCCGAGCCGCAGGGTGCCACAACTACATGAAGGCTGATGCCGCACGAGCGCGGCAGAAGAAATGTGAGAAAGTTGTCGGGACAGATCGCGCCCGTCAGCGCCTGCCGCGCGCCTCGCGGGCTGCGCGCAGCTTGGCGCCCAAGGCGGCGCGAACCCCAGCCATCAGCCCGTTGTATCTGGCCCGCAGCGCCGCGAGCTCCGCCCGCTCCGAAGGGAACTGCTGCTGCTCCTCGGGCTGCTCGGAGTCGCGCTGCTTGTTGACGTCGGACTGCTGCTCGGAGACCGCCTGTGTGTCCACGTGCATCGGCGTCTCGGCGAGAGCGGGCTCCGATGCAGCCTTGTCCTGGGCCTCCGACTCCTGCTCCTGGACCTGCTGGAAGTCTGCCCACGTGCACTCATCCTCGAAGTGCACCTCCCTCGTGGGGCCCGCGGAGCCGATCCCGACCTTCTCCTGGAGGTCCTGCTGTGCAACACCTGGCTGCATGCGCCCGTCCTGATTGACAGCGTACTCCGACGGGTCGCTGCCAAGAGGCTCATCATATGCAGCCTCATCATCATCATCGGCCGAGTCCCTCTCGCACTCCACCCCCTTCACCGCCGTGGTCGGCGGGCAGGCGCTGGGTGTCTTCGGGCCGCCATCCCGCCCAAGCTCCTCGAGCCTCCACTGCCAGCACTGCGCGCCAGAGGCATGGAGGAACCGCCTCAGGCGCCGACCGCACACGATCCGCCAGGACGAAGGCAGTGCCGCGGGTCGCGGCCCTCCCCCGCCTCGCAGCCGTTCTCTATGCTGTGCACGTGGCGGGCTCGGCTGCCTCCGTCGCCTTGAGTGTCCGTGCGCTCGCCGGTACGGCGGCCGACGCCGTCGGTCCTTCCCGCGTGGGCCGACGGCCGCGCCTCCGCCGCCGCCTGACCGACGCTGGTTTGGCGGGGCTCGACGCCGCGCCAACGCCAGCGCCCAGGTTCGCGTCCGTGCACTCCTCGTACTCGCCCTCGTCCTGCACATCGCTCAGCTCGTCGTGCTGGTTGCCGAGGGGCGCCTGCACCTCGCCCGAGCCGAGACCGTCCTCGTCCGTGCAGGCGTCGCCGACGGTGTCGTCGTCGACTTGCTTGGAATCATCGTCCTGCGCTCCGTCGCCAGCGCACTCGCCGAGCTCGGGCTTGGACTCGAACCTGACCTCATCGGGCCCGCAATCGCTGTCGAAGCCCTCGAGCTCGTCGTCGCCGACGCCGTACTTGATCTCGTACTGGTTGTGCAGCTGCACGTGCTGCTGCTCGTCCACGTGCTGCTGGTGCCCGTCATCGTCGTTCTTCGCATCGCCGTTGTAGCCGCACTCGTCTGTGGGCGGCGCCATGCTGCGGCGCCTCGCCTCCAGGATGGGTCGCCATCCCGCCTCAGGGGGAGGACGGCTGAGAGCCCACAGATCCGTTGGGGCGAGGGCGCCAGACCGCCCACGGCGCTGGCTGGCCTGCGGCCGCTCGAGCGCGGCCTCGAGGACTTCGGCGCCTTCAACGAGGAAGGCGTGGGCCCCGAGGTTCCGAGTCGCCCGCTCGGCGCCCGAAGCCCTCTCGCCGCGGATCAGGCGCGCCAGGGCTGGCCTGATGGCCCGAAGCCGCAGGGCGAGCTCGGCGTCTTCCTCATCGCCAGCTCCATCTGCAGCCCAGAGCCAGATCGGCTCAGCACCGACGCGCGCCGCGGCGGCCACGGCGGCCGCGATGCCGTGCCTCGCAGCGCCCCCCGTTGCCGCGCCTTCGGCTGCCGCTCGAACCAGCGGCCCCAGGGCGGCAGCAGCGTCCAGCGCCGCGACTGCCGTGAATGCCCGAACAGCGCGGGGCTCGAACGGGCCAACTGAGAAGCAAATAGCCCGAACAGCGCGAAGCTCGAACGGGGAAACCGCTGCCACACCGGTGTGGTTCCTTGGGCCGAAACGGCTACGGACACACCGACGACGACGACGACGACGACGATGATGATCATGATGATGATGATGATGATGATGATGATGATGATGATGATGATGATGATGATGATGCTGATGCTGATGCTGATGCTGATGCTGATGCTGATGCTGATGCTGCTGCTGCTGATGACGATGACCATGACGATGACGATGACGATGACGATGACGATGACGATGATGATGATGATGATGATGATGATGATGATGATGATGATGATGATAGCGATGGCGATGTTTAGGATGACGGTGATTGTGATGGTGGTGACGATGATAAGGCCGTCGTTGACGTTGATTGTGATGATGCTCGTGATGGTGATGCGATTGATAGTGATGACAGTGATGATGCTGGCGCCTGTGGTGGTGATGGCGCTGACGATGATGATGCTGGTGATGATGATGATGATGATGATGATGATGATGATGATGATGATGATGATGATGGAGATGACGATGATGATGGTGATGGTGATGGTGATGGTGATGATGATGTTGCCGAGTGATGACGATGACGATGGTGTGATGCCGACGACCGAAACGGTGATGGTGATGGTGATGGTGGTGGTGGTGAAGATGATGATGATGATGATGATGATGATGATGATGATGATGATGATGATGATGATGGTAGTGTTGATGATGATAATAATGATGATAGTGGTGATGATGATGATGATGATGATGATGATGCTAATGATGCTAATGATGATCATGAGCGTGATGATGCTGATGATGCTGATGATTGAGTCGACGATGATGCTGGTGATGATGATGATGATGATGGTGACAATCATGACGATGATGATGGTGATGATGATGAGGATGACGATGTTGGTGATGAAGCCGATATTGATGATGGTGATGCTGATGGTGCTGATGATGATAATGATGATGATACTGGTGGTGCGGATGGTGATGATGACGATGATGGTGGCGGTGGTGGGGATGTTGATGGTGATGATGGTGATGGTGATGGTACTGGTGATGGTGGTGGTTATGGTGATGAGGATGATGACGATGAGATGACGATGATGATGATGATGATGATGAGGAGG